CACAGCCGCCCTACAGTCTACCGGCCATGGCGACTCCTGTTGATCCGGCAGAACATCCGGGCGCAGATGTGAGGAGAGGACAGGGAGGACAGCCAGACAAGGAGGCCAGCGCTGCGTGGCACCGGGCGTCTGAGGGTCTGACAAACGGACGATCTGGGTCCTGGGCACGGAGAGCAGCCTGGAGGCTCCGGCGGGGGAGAGGGGGGGCCAGGGAGGCTGTGAACAGGCGGGACTCCCAGCGGGGAGATGGGGGAGGCCTGGGTCTGCGGTCCAGCAGCCAGTGCCGCTGCCCACGCTGTGCTGGGTGTGGGGACGGCCGTGTTCTCACCAGAAGGAAAGGACGGGAGTGACGGGGGGCGGGTAGCTAACCGGACAGGGGAACCATGCAGGGTGTAACCTGTACCAGAGCGTTCGCTACGTTAAACATCAGACACTTTTTTGTCAATTATTCCTCAATAAAGCTGGAAAAATAAACTTGAAAAATGATATGAGTTACGAGAGAGAGAGCAGCGGAGTCGTCACCCCTCAGCCGCCCCTGCCCGTCCTGGTGCCTGTGGGAAGGTCAGCACCAGCCCTGACGCCCAGGCACCCCGGGGAGGAGGGCGCCCCCAGGAGTTCCCTCTCTCAGGGTGGACTTAGGGTCCCGTGTCCACATTCTGTTTTGTTGGTGACCTTTGCCCGGAGGGGCCCCGGGGGAGGTCTTCCCGGGGTGTCCCCTGCCGCAAGGCGTGAGGTCGGCGGCAGACCTCGGGGGCTGCTGCCCCTGCCCCCTGCCCAGCGGCCCGGCCTCCGGTGCGGCTCAGACAGAGGAAAGCGAGGCCTCCACAGAGGCTGTGAGCATCTACACTCCTCCCCACAGGCCGCCTTACGCAGACTCGGTGCCTTCACCTCAGTCATGCTAGACTTGAATGGCTTGTGAAGGGAGTAAAAAAAAAAGGGGGGGCGGGGGGACACAGCCAGCCTGGCTCAGTGATTGAGCACCAACCTATGAACCAGGAGATCACGGTTCGACCCCCAGTGTGGGGCGTGCAGGAGGCAGCTGATCAATGATACTCTCTCATCATTGATGTTTCCATCCCCCTCTCCTTTCCTCTCTGAAATAAATTAAAAATATTATTTTAAAAAAGGGACAAACCAAGATCCAGCTTTGAGGATGTTCAGCCTTAATTCCTTCCAGTTTCAGGACAAAAGGACAAGCAGGGCCCAGCCTGTCCCCCCACCAGCCCCAGATGCGCCCCCAGACCACATGTGGGCGTGGTCATCATGCAGGATGGGAAGCCGGCTGTTACTGCAAATGAAGAGGGTACCCTGCTTTCCAGACACGTCTGTGTGTTTACGGACCAGTGACCTTACTACTGGAATTCTGGGACAGAGAAAGAATTCCACTCTTTGCCAGCTTTTAAATGCATGGATTCTCCTCCTTTCTCCACGCTGATGGGAGACGCAGACCTGGAGAAAGCTCCCGTTTCCTGCGTTCGCCCGCAGGCTGGCTTCCCCTCCGAGGACAGCAGGAGCGCCGACCCACTCTCGTCCCTGGTCAAACGCAGGCGCGTGCCTCCATCTACGCTTCAGAGACTCCAATTTCCCCAACTGAATAAGCCCCACCCTGACAGGGAAATTCCACATGTATCCACTCAGAGGGGGGAAAGCCTGAAACAAAACCTTTCTGAGGAATCTGAACCTGAGTCCCATTTTACACTGTGTGTGTGCGTGCATGTGTGCCTGTATGTGTGTGCATGTGTGCCTGTATGTGCGCGTGCATGTGTGCCTGTATGTGTGTGTGTGTGTGCGCGCGTGTCAGGACGAAACGTTCCCTTGTGAGTTTTGTGTCGAGAGCCAAGGCTGGCGCTGTGGCCATATGGGAGCGATCCGTGGGGCGGGCCCAGGGCCAGCTGTGTACACTCCCCTGCTTCATGGCCCAGCTCACACTATTTGTGGTGCTGGGAGAGGCCAGCAAAGAGCAGACCCAGGAAGCCCTGCTGCCCAGGTGCTGACCACTGCACACGGGGTCCCTGCCCCGACACCTGGGAGTGAAATCAATGCCGTGTAACCTTGCAATGGGCTGAATGGCCATGGTCTGAAAGTTAATAAAATCAGCCTCATGTTTGTTTTAGAAACTAGAGGCCCGGTGTGCGAATTCATGCACGGGTGGGGTCCCTCGGCCTGGCTGGCGATCGGGCTGATAGGGCTGGTCGGCCGGGGGAAGGGACTGCGGGAGGTTGGCTGTGGGAGCGCACTGACGACCAGGGGGCAGCTCCTGCGTCGAGTGTCTGCCCCCTGGTGGTCAGTGAGCATCATAGCGACTGGTCAGCTGGTTGTTCGGTCGCTTAGGCTTTTATTCTATAGGTAAGAAAGGATTTTGGAATAAAATGTCCAGGACCGAAATATCAAAGCGGGTGAGGATTAGAAAGGGGCGAGGATTCCAGAAAAACAAGTGGGTTTTCGATACAGCAACTAATGCCAGGCTGCGCCAGTGACTCGGGCATCCAGGAAAACGTCCCACATTTTAATGATTAATTTCTCTCACTCTACAGCTTTACCACCGTACAGACTCAGTCTGAAGCCATCTGTTGGGATTCCCTATAGCAGTGATGGCGAACCTTTTGAGCTCGGCGTGTCAGCATTTTGAAAAACCCTAACTTAACTCTGGTGCCGTGTCACTATAGAAATTTTTTGATATTTGCAACCATAGTAAAACAAAGATTTATATTTTTGATATTTATTTTATATATTTAAATGCCATTTAACAAAGAAAAATCAACCAAAAAAATGAGTTCGCGTGTCACCTCTGACACGTGTGTCATAGGTTCGCCATCACTGCCCTATAGCATCGTCTTAAATTGAGCGCATTGGACACAGGACAAGGAAAGATCCTTTTCGTCTCTTAATGTCCATCTACGGTATCGCTATGTTCGACAGGCGTTTGGGGAGAAGTCAGCAGCCCTCCGTGTGGATGTTACAGCACTAACGCCCGGGAACTGCCGCCTGGAGCCCAGGGCCATGGCACCGCCAGGCGTCCACTCCCCTCCGCGTGAGCACATACTGCCAGGCCTGCAGCCTCGAGTCCCTGTCGGGTGAGCCTTACGCCCAAGTTTCCCTCGCAGCCTCCTGGGCAGCCTCTCAAGCTGCGGCCCCTGGGCCAGTGTCCGCACCGCCTGGCGCTGAGGAAGGGAAGGAGCCCCCAGGCCCGCCCAGCCCGGAGCCAGGAAAAGGCAGGGCCCAGTGATGAGGGCGCCGACCACAGGGGTCACGCTGGCTCCTCGGGCTGGAAACCTGGGCTCGGAGGCAAGAGGCTCGCGTTGCCAGAGGAACGC